TATCAAATATGATGAGTTTCGTTTTCAAATCCAAGATGTTGAGTTTTTATGAAAACTTTCCATGTTTCATATCTTATTTTTTCAGGTGACATAAGATTGTTCCAGATCCTCAGGGTTTAGTTTCACGACTCAGGATCATTACTTCGACGGAGCCAATGTTAGCTATTGTGACAGAGAAACGTTCGTTGCAGTGTTAGTTCAACAGCAGAAGACGAAAATCCCGAATATCAGTCATGAGTTTGAGTTGGTGGAACAAAGGTAAATATCCCTGAAGTCTTAAGTAGTATGCCTAAAATATTTTGATTCCTCTGCATTTATATGTTTCTGCAGCTGAGTAGAAGGAGCAAGAAATCATTTATTTGTGGTTTCACTTGATTACTATCGGAGATGGGATATGAAGAACAAATGTTTTGCATTTCTCACAGTTTTTTTAAAGAAAATTGACCATCAGATTAAGGTGTTCCGAAGTCAACAATAACTTTCAATAAACAGAGGTAGCAGCTGCAAATACATAATCAAGCTGAGTGCTTGACTTTTTGACTGTCATCAATTGTCACGCTCAAGGTACAATTTCTCAGCGGTTTTTCTAAGTTCCATTTACTTTTAAATCCAAGGTAGAACATGCATGCGGGCTGTTTGTTTTGTGGGTTTACTGGTCATTTTTCATTGATAATTTGGGAATCATCAACCTAGAGTGAACTAAGACTCTTAGGATCACTAATGCTTTTTAATTGCAACTTTATGTTGATTTTAAAATTTTTGTAGAATGGATACATGGTCTTTAATTAAATGCCAAAGAGATCATGTGCAAGATGAAGCTGAAAATCTTCAGAAGAGGGATTCAGTGCAGCTAAGCATCCAGGAGATCATGGACTGCAAATCTAGCTAATTAGTCTGTCTCACACGTTTATAAATTGATGCGTCCAAAAAACCAACAGGCGTGGACTGAGATTCATGCTTCTTCATCTCTATACCATCATATGTACGCCTTGATAGTTTGAGATTGAACCAGAAACAACAACATTGTTTCATAGATTGAGAAGAACACATATGGTGGTTGATGACTGTATGGTGGTTATTGACTGAGCTAGGCTGGTATTGGGGTTGATATAATGTTTGATTTTCGTAGAAATATTCCAAACAGAGACAAGAAGTTGGAAAATAGATATAAAGCAGGGAGTTGTATAATTGCAGTACACATGGACTGATAGATAGATACTTAAAAGTCACATGAATCATAACTTTCGTTTTTTTATCCAAAAGGCTAAGTACTAAAACAAAGGCATAGCTTGCTTAACTTTGGAATGGGAAAACTCCCTAAAATTCTTCTATATGTACTTTCCATCGTATTTTTCGAGTAACACACACACGCGAAGAACTACAAAAAGATGTAACTATACAGAGTAAAACAATAAGATAACTGAATAAGTAAAAAAAAAATGGATGAAAGAATTAGTGGACCTCTTTAAAATTCACGAGCACAAAATTTTTTAACTTCTTAAAAGGTATAATAATTGCCAGTATATATAAGTCATTCACATACGTATTCATTACCAAATTTTATCAAAATTTGAAGTTATAAATCTTCAACAATCAAAATCCAAATTTTATCAAAAAGAAAAAAACATACATGAGGTGATTACATTGAGGACATTTAACATGCAAGTAAATGTTGCATTTAACCACCACCAACTTACTATAATAGATATTATGAAATATGGATCTAAAATAAGCTACATCTCAGATCTCATGTACAACTATATGTCTCATTGTATATATAGATATTTGGTCATCATTATATTTTATTATAATATTTAAGTAAAAGTATGCACGTCTGGAAAAAAAATAATTATCAGAATATATATGTTTTGACCAAAAAAAGAATATATATGTATTTTTAGATTGTAGAAGGTTTTACAGGAAAAGAAATAATAATAATGTTTTTGGATCATAATATTGGACTGAAAATATATTCAAAATTCACTCAAACCATTAAACCGGTGCATTAATACTTTATCGTAAACAAAAATAAAAACTCAAAGATTAAGCTAGAAAGTATACAATATTGTAGTTTTAACAAAAATGTAATACCATGATTCGTATTTTAAAAAGGTAGTAATTGTAAAAAAAACTAATAATTTTCTTTGTCTGCAATCAAAATAGTATTTAATATTTAAAAAAAAATAGATTGTGCATATATATTGAGAATGTCTTGATTATCGCTTACATTGAGTTTTAATCCATAATTATATTTTGACTATAGTTAGATTGTAATATACTGTTTCTGTTTATAATTTAACAAATAATATATAAAATATTAATGTTTTTCCTAGAAACTTTAGTGTATTTAAATAATACACCATCATTAAAAAAAACAATAAACCAATTTTAAAATTTGTTTTATTTACATTTTTTAGAATTCTTTTTAATAAGAGAATATATTATCAACATTAAATAACATATAAATAAAATAATGAAACAATTATATTCTTCTTAAATAATAAAAGAAATGATAAAAATGCAATGAAAATAGAGAAAGTTTTTAATTGAAAATAAATTAAGCGTTATAAATATTTTATCAAAAATTAATGCAAATTTTTTTTTCCATACAAGGCTAAAACATCTTTGCATATTAGCAAACAACTGTGGTTAAAGCAACTATCTCTATGCCATAATTTTGCTATGCACATGAGAACATGAGGAAAGTAAAAAATTTATGGATCGTCATGAACAGCAAACCAGCATGTCTGGAGCTGACAAATGATGGAGTAGATTAAACGTTCCTTATGTAATGTCTCTATAATAAAATATAATTGTTATAAAACTAATATGATTTTTATAATGCCACCAAAAAGAACCACACAATAGTCTGGAAAATCGATACATTGATTTTTATTACTATAAATAAATGCACACACTCATTGACCACTACTTAGTTTTTACACTTTCCAGTTTCAATGCTTTTTTTTTTTTTTGCTTTTGATTAGGTTTACTATACCTTCTTTGCATTCAATATAACATTCTACTTTTCATAAGAAATAAAATTTCAAATAATCACCACTTCCACTCTAATAACCTGTCAAAAGACTATGATTTCAACATTAAAAGTAATTATTCTTATAATATACACAAAAATTTAATCACAACTCAATCCTTCATAATCCAAAATATTATAAACCACCCGAATATGGGATCAAATTTTTGTTAAAGGAAATAACATGAAGACCTTCCAAAACCTTCACAACATATCAACCACAACTCTTTAATTAAGAACATATATTTAGTTTTAAATATATCTTATCACATATAATTTCTCCATACTTAAAACTTTTTAGAAGACAAAAAACATTATCATACACATCTTTTGTAAATACAAACCTAAAATACAAATCCAAAATCATACAAAAATAATAATATAGATAACAAGTAAAGTATATCCCGCCCGTAGGGCGGGTCTACCCTAGTTATATATAAAATTATCTATCTTTTAAGATCCATATATATATATATATACAAAAAGATGTGGACATGGATACTATAATGTGGACATGGATAGAAAAGATGTGGATGATAGCAGCGTGGTTAAAGATGTATAAAAGCGTGATTAGGAATGTATTTGTCAACCGAGTACATAAAAATGGTTGAGTTTTGTTGATTAGAGACATGTGAATATGAGAGTTATGTACAAATTCAAATTAGAAATAGATCAGAGTCTTTTGTTTTTTGTAATATGTTTTTGTGGATATGATCTTGGAAACAAAGATCTTGTGGACAACGTCCAGTTAACAAAAAAAAAGTGAACGTGGAAATCCGGTTCAAGATTTGTTTAACGTCGACATAGCATAAATCCGGTTCAGTTCCAGAGACATAAAAAACAATGAATCAGACAAAAAGATATAACTACAGATTCAAATGATAAGTAATGAATAGAAACTAAAAAAAAAACAGAAGATAGTCCAAATTTACAAACGGTTATGGCAGATTTATGTTTCTTACCCTTTATCATACTGAAATGGCAGCAAGACGAAGGGATTTAAATTTTGTTCTAATTGATTTTATGGAAAATTAGAGTTCATGAGATGAGAGGATGAGAAATTGAATTTTATTTGAAAATATGAGAGAAGATATGAAAATGGGTATGAGAAATGAATTTCGATAGCTTTAGGTGGGTTTAAAGTTTACGAGGTCCAAAGGAATAGAAACTTAACTAGAACTAGAAATTAGTAGATTTTGGTTGAAAGGGACAAAATAGACAAAACACAGCCAACAAATATGCCTCAAGCAAGAAGTGTCTTTCTCTGTAATTGATAAGACAAAAAGTGTCTTAAAAAGTAATTATTTCTATAAGCATTATAGAATTATGAGAAGTGCACTTAATCAAAATATCTAGGAGACTGAAAGTTAAGAAAATTAACAGATTGAAGTAACAATTAAAAAAGACAAATGTAAAACACAAAAAACAACCACATTGACATCTTTAAAATGTAAATATCTCTGTTTAAAATACAGATGAAGCATTATAGTATTATAGAATTATGAGAAATGCACTTAATTAAAATATCTAGGAGACTGAAAGTTAAGAAAATTAACAGATTGAAGTAATATTTAAAGAAGAAAAAATGTAAACACACAAAAAAACCACATTGACATCTTTAACTAGCTAGTTAAGCATACGCGTTAATTAGAAACGTAACTTTTTTATATTTTAAACGCCGACGTAGACCTATAGTTCAATCTTTAGGGACAGGATCACACCAAAACAATTTCCAGTGTCCAACTAATCAATCAAATTGACAGAGCAGACATTTACAAAAATAAGCGTACAAAATTTCCATCATCTATATTGAAATAGAAAACAATTTACTTGTTCAACAAATACTAGAAAATGCTCACAGGACTTGTAAAGCAATATTCCCGAATACATATTCCCCAAAGTAACATCATCATGATCATGATTAACATCATCTTCATGATAATCAGATGATTACATACAAGCTATATTATAAATCAAGATCTCTCAGCATAAACTCCTCCAACGTTGCCGTTTCCAGGTAAAAATCATGATAACAATAATCCTTATGATCTAAACTCTCATCATAACTGTTTTTGCCCGAATATTCTCTCAAAAGATCATGATCTTGATTAAATTCCGAGTTACTTTTTTCACCTGATTGATACAACGTCATTACTTCCTCACCTGACCAAGTCGGGTGACGCTGCTCACTACTCACATGCCTGGTAAGCGCATGATCATGAATTTTATCATAATTATTTCGGTCTCCGGAGACCGGAAAAATGGCTTCTTTAGAGATTGTAGTTGGAGACCTGAAATCCAGAGTCACCGGACCTTTTCTGCGGATGGATTCACCAACCGCAGAGCGTCCGGTGAATTTCTGAACTAGAGTTCGAAAATTGCTAGGGTTTGCATTTAGGAGAGTAGTTGGTATGGCTCTCTTCGGAGCCCTAGATCTCCTTCCGGCCGTTTCATGCGCCGCTGCAACACCACCGTCTCCGAGGGAAGATCCTGATGGTGACGTCATACTTATGGCATTGAAGCACGGAGTGATCTCTTGAACTTGGTGTGGTTCGTAGTGTGGTAACCACTGGACTGCTCTAGATGAGGCGTTGTTGTTCATTGGATTTTTTTTTTTTTTTTGGATTTTTTGTTAGTTGTTTTTATTTTATTTTCTCTTTGGTGTATTCAATGCATAGGCTTTAGGATTAAGGTTAGGGTTGCTTTATAGCATACGAGGAGATGTAACTCTTGATTGCCGTACAAACCATATGGGATGATCGTTGACTTGTACCTTGAAGTTTTTAATATGGTTGTAGTTTAATTACTCAGGAAGTAATTGAATATTTTAGTTGAAGTATTTATATAATGCTCTCTTGATCAATGTATGATAATTTGCTCATCACTACTATTATGATCTAAACTATATGGTTTCATGGATTTTGATTATTTTTACGTCGTGACCCAAAATTACTTCGGCTATGTATATAAAAATGGGTTTAGTGCTATTTTATTTCTTAAAGTAGGTACTATGTAAATTCAACAGTGAAATTTTAATGTAAATGCTAAAATTTATTCATTTCTGCAACTTTCTTTGAATTGCGAATCACCATTCCATTTTTTTAGATTGAAAATCATTTCACATATTGTTTTCTAAAACTTTTAACATTCTCTAAAGCAACTACATCACCCGCGATAAGTAACCAACATTGATCACACCATCAGTTGATTAAATTGTTTTTTGTTTTATCGTATTTTTCATAAGAAGTCTTAGCATTCTTAAGTTTCAAAATATTTTTTCATAGGAACGCTAGCTTGGATGCAAGGTTAATTTCAATGCTGTATCATTATATACATATGTATGTACAACAATATTAATATCTTAGGTGTGGATGGAGATGGACTGATAATGAACATACTTTTATATGAAGCGACAAATGGTGATAACATCAACATGATCGAAAGACTTGACATTGATGCTTTCCTGTCTCTTCGGTTCTCCCGATCGTTTACTGGTCAATACATTGTTTTAAGAGTATTTTTACGATTATAATACTTACTATATATTTTTTTTTAATAGATGGTAGAAAAGTAAACTATACTCACATTCTGCCAAATATTTTGGTTATCAATAAATTTTATCATCATTTTACTTTGAATGCATTCAGGATTATTGCTTACTGGCCAGGTTTAAAAACCTAGTAATCAGTTTTTTTTTTTTCATATTTTGACCAGCTTTTAGAATGTATTTACGATAATTGCACATGTAAAGAAGTTCATTTCGAGAACGTGATCAGTTTGCGTTATGAAAATCTTGGTAGTGCTTCAGTCAAAAAAATCTTTGTAGTGCTGATAATTATTCTTGATCGACCAGTTATTCACATTTCCTTTATGAAATGTTTTAAAGAAAAAAATTAGAATGGTGGCCTTGATACATTAAGTGTTATTAGTTATAACATGTACAAAATTAGAATGTTTGTAAACTATGTTTACACTTTTTTTTTTTTTTGAACATTATTATGTTTACACTTTTGATCAGCTTTTGTCTAACACGTACAGTTGGACTTACCTAGTTACCTTTGTTTCAATTGACATACCAAATTAAATTTGCCTTAAAATTAAGATAATAAAACTGAAGCAAACAAAGAAAATTTCGCAAGTTTGAAAAGTTGTCATTAACTCGATATAGTTTTGACAAAAAAACGATTGTCAATATATATGGTGTGAGCAATGACGCTCGAGAATATAAAAGTTTAAAGAATACGCATAAGTATATTGTCACTTTTAATAGAACCCGAAAACAGATTTAGTTACCGTTAACGAGCTGTCACTAGCTAGTTCGCAATTACGCGGTGGGTTTATATTAACGAACCTTTTCTACTAATTATTAAAATAACTTTAAAAGAATGAACACGGAGGATGGACCGGAGACATATACATGTAGTTTTTTTGTTTTAAGTAGTTCAATATGAAATCTCTGGTATATTAATAAAAAAACTACATGTCTCAGATCCATTGAAGTGAAAATTATACTAAATTTTAATCATTTAAGTTTACTTCAATGAATTGATTTTAGGCCTAAATTTAAAACATTCACCCTTTTCTTTTTTCTTTTTTTCTTTATAAAGTACCTCAAACCATGAATACTCTTGATTTCATTCATCAATAACGAGTATGAAAAAGTCAAAACACGAAAAATACAGATACAGCCAATAGAAGATGCCTTTAGGAGTCAATAGTAAGATTGGTCAAGCTTCTTGACCAGAAATCCCAATTCTCAGTTCTCACAAATGTTCGGGGAACCACGATTAAGTCGTTGATATGTGACTTATATTCTTTTTATGAGTAAAACCTCCAAGATGATCCTTCCTTTGAATTCAAACTTCTATTTTCTTCTACTTAAATATGATTAGTACAACTACTTGTTAAACAAAAAATAAAGTTTAAAATTGTTTTGACACAATATGCGTTTGCGTTTTATATGAAACTATATAGGAAAACTGTTCTGATATACAAAACATATCGCAATTAATAACGCATATCATAATGAAATGTGTTAGTGTTGCTTTATAATCCGAATTCAAACTGGAAAAAAACATACTGTATGATTTAGAAACGAAAATTGAAACATTACAATTCAAGTGTACTACGATCAGTCATTCTTGAAAAACGACTAGCTTTGATGATGGTGTTAAACCCAACAGATTTGGCTTTCTCTTTGTAGAACTCAAAATGCTTCTTCTTTTGATACAAATTCTCTCCATAATTCTATCCTTTGATCATCATAGTCTCATGAATGCATTTCTGTTTCTCGCGGTTATGTTGCCTTTTTCTGCTCATCTCTGGCTCCGGATATCGTGTACTAAACCCGATTCTACCAATAACTGGATTCCTTTTGCTGCTAAACCCGTTTTTTTTTCTTACGCCATGAAAAACCTTGAGCCACACAGTTCTCTTGTTTTCCCCTAGTTAAATTTGTTTTTAGGTTCTACTCACATAGATTTTGGTATTTGTTTTAGATTTCATGTCCTGTTTCCTGTGGTGGATTGTTGTGTAACCAAGATTGCTTGAAGAAATGGGTTTAGCTGTTTGTGTTGGTAGTGCATCTCTTGTATCTATGGAACTAAGATGGGTAAGAAGAAGCAAATGTGATAGTTCTGCATCGGCATTGCCTCGTTAGATACCTGTTTATATCTCTACCCTGAAGAAATACATCAATCTAGAGGAACTGAGACGTTTGTACCTCTTTGTATCCTCCTGACTTGGGGAAACAAAAGAAGAATGAGTTCTGTAGGAGATTTGTTTCAGGACGTGTTGCCTCTCACTGCTACAAATGACCAGCTTGTTGGGTTCAGTTGTGCTTATTCTGACTATAGCTTGACTGCTTCAATCCATGATCTAATGGTACTTAATTTATACCAAAAGTTTCACAGATTGTTTGGTAGAGTTTGCTTTCATTACACGTGTAACAACCCAAGACTTGGCCCAAAAATTTTGGAAGACTAATGGGCCTGTCTACAGCCCATTAGTGTAAAACCTAGGGTTTACCTCCCTTTCCCCTATATAAAGAGCTGCCTCCTCCTTCCTTTGTCTCATCCAAAAACTGAAGCGAAGCCCTGCAGAAAATCTTGGAGACACGAAAGCCTTAGCCGTCAAGGTTCTTCTTCTCTCGCGCGATCTCTCTCTTCTATCTCTCTCTCCTCCGTGCGGCCACTTCTTCTCCCTCTCTCTCTCCTCACCGTGCGTGTGGTGGTGGTGGTGGTGGTCTCTGGAGATCGTCGGTGGTGGCGGTGGCGCCGTGTAACGTGGAGGCGACCAGATCTCGTTCCCTCCTATATCTTGTTCTTAGATCTAGATCTCCAGATCTCGGATCTATTGCTAAGGTGAGGTGATTCGACCTAGATCTGTTCTCCTATTCTCTATTCTAACTGATGGTGGAACTAGGGTTTGGTTAGCTCTTGTTTGAAAGTTAGGATGATAGATCATAATGGGAGTTAGGTTGTTATATGATTGAATCATGATGCATAAGAACCCCTCGTACTGTTAAATGAGACTTAATTGTTAAATGAGACTTAATGGACTGCCTTGTGTTGATGTGGATAATGATTGTTATGAATGTTTGTGTGATTGGTTGTTGTCCCATATGTTGATTGTGAATGGAAAATAGGTTGCTAGAGTAAAGTGAATGATATAGTAACTCATGAATGTAGAGTATATCAATTGAGAATTAAGGTGATAGATGTACATGAGTTATGAGATTGATGATGTATGATAATGTGATGCCATTGATATTAATGCTATGTGAAGTGTATTGTGTGAGACACCGAGAATGGGTGCGTCTAGAAAGTAGGAAAGAGTCTAAGTGTCAATGAATGAGTTGAAGTGAAAGTTAAAGTGGAAATGAACGTAAAAAGGAAATTGAATGAGTAAAGTGAATGAGTAAAGTGAATGAGTAAGTGACTGAGTAAAGTGAACGAGTAAAGTGAATGAGTAAAGTGAATGTGAATGAGAATGAGGAAGATGATAAGAATGAGAAAGTAGTCGAGTCAATGAACATGTTTGAAGTCTTGTTTGGGCACCGAGAACGGGTGGGCGTCTAGAGTCCAGGATGTGATGGCCCAACGGAGGACGTTCCCGTGGGCGGAAAGTGAAAGGCCGTGAACGGACGGCGACCGCCAAGGCGGGATAAAGTTAGGAATAGGCGACTTAAGATCGAGTCAATGCCGAGTCGTGGCAAATTGTGACCATCTGACCGTGAACAGACGGGAGCCGCGGGTAGACAGTGTTGCACGTGGGCCAGCAGGTGCTGCACGTGGGCCAACGAGCTCCCCGCGGGTGGTTACTAGGAAGCTGGAGGGGGGAAATGGTTTCTCCAGAGTGGGCACCCCTTTCAGTTTAGGCCGGAACGTGTAGGGACATCCGTAAACGGCCATAGGTTCTAGAGGTCTAGGTTGAATGGCGAGTCTAGGTAAAAGAGATGATTGGGTGATTGAGTCTATGTGAAGCAATGGCTGAGTCCTTGCAGTGTATGAATGTTACGGTGCTAGAATTCTATGTTGAGATATTGTTGTATGGCTTGTTTGATGCATATTGATTGTAGTGGCTAGTTGGTCTTGGTTTCCG